ATTTTTTTCTATGAAAATTGTCTATTTTCTCTGAGTTTTCAGTTTTGATGGCATAATGTTCATATTGTACTCTTCCTAACTTTAAAAATCTGTTACTTGTGTAGTTTTGTTGTTTTTTCAATCCTAATGTTGTTTGCTTGTGCTTTTCTTTTCCTTCGTCAGTTTTGATATTTAGAGCATTTTACTTTTTAGTTCTAAATATTTTCCAGCTTTAGTTAGAAAACCTCTGTGGACCATTGATTATTTTTAATATCTTTAGTATTAATTATTTGGTTCTTTTTAGTTTTATTTTACTGGAGAATGGGTCTATTTAATAATCAGTTTTTTTTCTCACATTTGTCAAGAGTTGCTTTTGCTTTATAACAGGCTAGTTTTTATAATGTTATTTGTCTGTTTGAAAATAATACACTCTTTTTAATTCCTGGGTCCAGGTTTCTATGTGGGTCCATAAGATTGAGGTTCTTAGTTTGTTGTTCAAATTTTTTATATTCTTAACAGTTTTATTTCTTTCTGATATATCATTTGTTATTTAAAAAGTCTTACCATGATACTGAATTTATTAATTTTTCCTTGTTATCATCAATGTTTACATAGCCCTTTGTAGCTACGTTGTTAGGCATATTATTCAGAATGTTATTCTGAGGTATTTTTGTTTATAATTATGTTAATGAATTTTTAAAAATCTTAATAATGATTTTGCCTTTAGAGTCTATTTTAACTGATAGAAATATAGCTACCTTAATGTTCTTTTAACGTTTGCCTTATATGTCTTATGCATCCTTTTACTTTTAACCTTTCTGTGTCCTATGTTTAGATATAAACCTTTTACACCTTTGCTATAAACTTTTATATCTTTGCTTTTAAACCTTTGCTAATTTTGAAAAATATTTGTTCATTTTGGCTTTTTCTTTAATTTTCTTTAATTTTTTTCAGTGTTCCAAAATTCATTGTTCACCACACCCAGTATTCCATGCAATACATGCCCTCCTTAATACCCACCACCAGGCTCACTCAACCCCCCCGCCCCAAAACCCTCAGTTTGTTTCTCAGAGTCCACAGTCTCTCATGGTATGTCTCTATTTGTCATTCAATTTTTATAGTGCTGTCTTTTAATAGGTAAATTTAGTCCATTTATAAATTTCATGATGATCAGTATATTTGTATTTATTCTTAGTGTTGATCTTATGCTATTTACTGTAGATTTTGCTTATTTGTTTGCATGCATGCTTTATTTCCCCCTTTTCTGCCTGCTGTTGACTTGGTCAAGTGTAGTTTAATTTCTCTTTTTATTTACTTTTTTGGAAACTACACATTCTATTTCAAATATTTTAATGTTTATCTTTACATTTTTAACATTTAAGGTTTACCTGAAGTCTAGAGTCAGTTTCTTACCATATTTCAAAGCCAAACAAGAAACTCAGTTTATTTTATACTATATGCAAAAATCAACTAAAAATGAATCAAAGACCTGAATATAAGAGCTAAAACTCTAAAACTCTTAGAAGAATATATAGGGGATAGCTTTATAACACTGGATTTGACATTGATTTCTTGGATATGACACCAAACAATAGACAACAAAAGGAAAAATAGATAAATAGGACTACACCACCTTTAAAAATTTCTGTCCACTGGAGGACACAGTCATCTTAGTGAAAAGGCATCTAATGTAATAGGAGAAATTGGTTGCAAATCACATGTCTGATTAGGCGCTAATTATCCAGAATATGTGAAGAACTTCTACAACTCAGTAACAACTCAATTCAAAATGAGCAAAGTACTTGAATAGACAGTTCTCCAAAGAAGATATGCAAATGGCCAACAAGCTCAACATCCCTAGTCATTAGGAAAATGCAAATCAAAGATACTACCTCACACTCATTAAGTGGCTTAATTTCTTTTTTAAATTAATTAATTTAAATGTTAAAAAATTTAAAATCCCACAATAAAACAAAATAAGAAGTGTTGGTGAAGGTATGAAAAAATTGGAGCATCTGTACTCTGTTGGTAGTAAAGTGTAAAACGCTCTAGCCACTCTGAAAAACAGTATGGCAGTTCTTCAGAAAATTAAAAAATAGAATTATTGTATGACCCAGCACTTCTACTTAGGGATATATACTTCAGAGAATTGAAATCAGGGACTCAAAGAGGTATTTGTATACCACATTCATAGTATCCACAATGTCCAAGAGATTTAAGTAACCAAGGTATCTATCAGCAGATGGGTGGATAAAGGAAATGTGGTATTTAAGTACAATGGAAAATTATTCAGGCTTAAAAAGAAGGAAATTTTAACACATGATACAACATGGATAAGCCTTAAAATGTTAAGTGATTTAAGCCAGACACAAAATGTCAAATACTGTATTATTTCATGGCTATGAGGCACCTAGGGTAGTCAGACTTAGAGATAGAAAGTACAGTGGTGGTTGTCAGGGCCCAGGAGGGGGCGGAAGGTGAGCAGGGGGCAGTTAGTGCTTAATGGATGCCAAGTTTCAGTTTTGCAAGATGAAAAGTGTTCTGGAGAAGGATAGTGGTGACTGCTGCACCACAGCGTGAATATGCTTCATGCCAATGGAGTGCATGCTTGGAAATGGTTAAAATGGTAAATTTCATGCTACAGGTATTTTACCACAATTGAAAATAATGATTAAAAAGTAAGTAAAAGATAAAGATGAGAGAACAAGAAACTTCAACCACTTGGATCCTAATTGTTCCCTCGGTAACACATTACTGTTTTCTGGTATTTTAGTTCCACCTGATTTTCAACCTTTAAATAGTTGTTTCCTCCTCCTCTGACAACCTGTTTCTCCTCTTTTTCCTACTCCTCTTCATCCCCTTCCTCTTTGTCACTATTTTATCCAATTAATGACTGTATGTATGTTAAAGTTTAGTAATACCTTTGCTCACAATTGCTTCTACTACCACATTCTTCCATATTAGTTAAACTTCTTGTTTCCTGAAGTGTGTCCTTATGTTTATCTGGAAGAGTGTGTACATGGAAATTCACTTACTCTTTGTGTGAAAATACCTGTATTTTACCCCCATTCATGTATCATAATTAGGTGACAGTTATTTTGTCTTGTCACTTTGAAGATTCAATTCCATTTTCTTCTCACTGCTATGTCAATACCAATAATTCAGCTGTAGTCTGCTTGTCATTCCTTGGTAGGCAATCTCTCTATATTCTTTACTGTTTTGAAGATGTCTTTGCCTTTGGTACTCTGCAGTTTAACTGCAGTGTGGATAGAAATGGATCTGGTTTTATTTTTTCATATCTTTTACCTGTTCACTTTTTATTTTTTTAATTTCAAGACTAGCTTTTTGGTTTTGTGGGTTTTTTTTTTCCTATTTCTGGAACTTCATTTCATTTTTTTTCATTTCTCCTATGATTTTTATATTTTAAATTTTTAATCATTTTAAAACATACTTCATGTAGCTTCATGTAGAATTGATAATTGTCGGGGTCTAATTATATTGCTTTGATTTCTGATTTTTTGGGGGGGGTAATGGACTGTTTCCTCATTTAGTTTGTATTTTTGGACCGTGAGCTCATCTTCAGTGGGCTTTTATGTGTGAGAATTATATGCAGCGAGGTTTGATCATGTGTCCTGTGAAGTAGTGAATTTTGAATAGTATTAGTATTGAATTTGTTATGCCAAGTTTTGGGGGTGCACCTTACCAGGTGCCATTATTTTTGCCAGTTCCTTGGCTTGAGGACTTCTGGATCCCAGAAGCACTATGATTTAGAATACCCACTGCTGGGACTACGTGGCTGAAAGTGATGAATTTTGGGAGGAGCAATTTTTCTTCACGTTTCAGCCACAGACAATACGGACAAAGTCTCTTTCTCTGAGTGGCAGATTTTCACAATTCACCTTTTTACTTACCCTCTAGAGTAAAGGCTATTATTATAGGGGGTGGCCTCTTGCTTCAAAATATATCCATGAGGACTGTCCTCTCGTCCTCATGGATATATTAAAATCCAAGTATCTAGAAAATGAAAACCAACATTCCCCAGCCCCAGTCCTGCTATAACGCTTATTGCTCTGGTTCTCAAACACTTCTTGATAACCAGCCCCTAAGAATTTCTTTTTTCTCTAAGGGCTCATTTATATATTTATTAAAAAAATGGTTGTTGTATTTTATCTAGTATTTTTAAGAGTTTGCAGTGCAGGAGTTTTCAAGTTACCTTATCTCAGTATTACCAAAGAGGAAGTCTATTCTAAGGATTACTTAAGAATGATAATTTTTTCTAGAAAATCCAGAATATTAACCATTATTCTACCTTGAGAATATTCTTTTTTGATACACTTCTTTAAAACATACAAAGAAACAATTTTATTTCAGAGTACCTTGCAAGATGCATGCCCAAGATCATTTATATTGATTATTTTCTCATTTACATCTAACTTCCCATAATTACATGCACAACTGTTTTTCTCTACTGGGACTTTATTTTTTGAAGAATATGTTTCAAACCCCTTTGTAATTTTTTAAATTAATAGGTAGTTTGCAGTACATTGTTAATAATTATTTCCTTAGGTTTCAGTTAAGGTGTTTTAAAATAATTTCTGGGTTGCTGATAAGTATTGGCCTGTTTTTTTCAGGCTATATTTTCCTTTTGACAAATGTAGAGTTTTCCTAGTTCCATTATTTATAGGAATGTGTTGGTTAGATAATATCAATAATAAGAATGTTCTGTACTAAATACCCAGTTTGTTTTTAATGGCTGTGATGTTCAAATCCTATTGTTACCCTAAATGTAGCCAATGAAGTACCATCAATAATAAAGATTCTATAGTATTGTGAAATCTGGAGGACTGTTAGTGTGGAGATTATATACAATTGAACTTATACGTACAAGGAGGCTAAATTCAGGTAATGACAAAGTTGTAGTTTTGAAATGATGTCTTGTGTATGTGAGTAAGTGTAAATATTTTTTAATTAATTATTGTTTCTAATATAGTAGATTACTAAAAATGTGTGAACTTCCTCAGGTCCAGTCCTCAGTGGCTGTTGGAACTCCAGATTATATCTCTCCTGAAATCCTTCAAGCCATGGAAGATGGGAAAGGGAGATATGGACCTGAATGTGACTGGTGGTCTCTGGGGGTCTGTATGTACGAAATGCTTTATGGAGAAACACCGTTTTATGCAGAATCTCTGGTGGAGACATATGGAAAAATCATGAATCATAAAGTTAGTATATTTTACTATTTTTTCAATTCAATGTGGTAAATGATACAATAAATTTGAAGTGATGTGATAGTTAAAAAATATTTTTTTAAAAACAAGAACATTCTAATTTCTATGCTAATAGGGGACTTGACAAATGTGAATAATCAAAATCCATTAACTATACATAAAATTATTAGTTCTTACCTTCTCCTGTATTTTATTAGAAATGCTAGTAAATAGGAAATTGGTCTCTTCCGTAGAATAATGAAGTGGGTAAGCAGATAATTTATATCCTTACTACTATAAGTACTCATGACTAGAATGCATTTAAAAAATTCTCATCCTTAGCCATCATAAATTAAATGCAAATCAAAATAAAACTGAGATATCCTTTTTCCCCCTGGCAAAGATGAAAAGAAAAATTCTACTCTGTACTGTGAATAACCCAGTAAGATGGGTATTGTTGGACATTGTCAATAGGAACTGATGTAACCTTTCTGTCAACAAATCTGTAAATAAGCATCTAGAGACTTGAAAAGGGTTAGAACTTTGGATTGAGCAACTTCAGGTTTAGGAATCTGCCCTAAGGAAGTACTCAGTTGAACCAAGATATATGTGTGAGGATACCTGTTCCGGTCTTCTTTAGGATCAGTGCAGTGAAAAGAATCCAGATTCACCACAGGAGCAAAGTAATGGAGCCTTAATCCATTTAGTTCCCAATGAAATAGAAATAAATTGTAATAAAGAGAGGAGGGTTCTGATTGATCAATTTCAGAAGACTGTGAGCTGTTGCAACACCTGGAATAGGAACGTCCCATAAAAGGGGGTGAGACAATTATGATCAGTTGCTTCTTGTATGTATCAGTCCCTTAATGCTCTTCTGTGCAGCCGGTGCTCTTCTGCCTGCAAGGATAATCTGCCAAATAGTCATGGAGAGTCGGAAGACAGGGGACAGCTAGCTACCGCGTTGTAAAGAGCATGTAAATCATTTCAGAGAGAAATCAGTGAGAGGTGGGGGCTCCGAGCCGGATTCTGGAGTCAGGCCGCTCTTCCAAAAGCTCTTCGGTTTACTAGTCGTGTGACTAGGAGTGACTGGCTTGAACTCCCTGGGGCTTTGGGTCTCTTCTGTAAAACCAGGATAATAGTGGCACCTGCCTTCAAGGATTGCTGTGAGGATAATAGGCATTAAGTGAACAAAGAGTTTCCGTGAGTGTCAAGTGCATGGTCCGTTCTTCACAGGTGTTTACTGTTGTTACTTAATGCTTGGTTTGTGGCATATATGAACATCATGAGTCCTATATACTCTACTGAAATTCTGAGTCAGTCTTCTTTTCATAAGTTCTCTTCATTCTGATAGCAGTTTAAGGTATTTTAGCATTCAGTTTATTCTTTCTACGGTGCATGTGTGAGTGACTAAGTCACATATAAAATTAAAGGTTCATTTAGAAAAATGTTCTTTTCTTTTGTAGTATGAGTACTTTGTGCCAGTGTACACTTATTAGACATTTTTAAAAGATTTTATTTACTTATTAGAGATCACAAGCAGGCAGAGAGGCAGAGAGAGAGGGGGGGAAGCAGGATCCCTGCTAAGCAGAGAGCCCGATGTGAGGCTCGATCCCAGGATCCTGGGATCATGACCTGAGCCGAAGTAGAGGCTTTAACCCACTGAGCCACCCAGGCGCCCCCACTTATTAGACACTTTTAAAAGAAAATGCATTTTTAAGAAAATAAATGTTAATCTGATTTATGTTTTGTTCCTATTATTCTGTGTCTAGGAGAGGTTTCAGTTTCCAGCTCAAGTGACCGATGTGTCTGAAAATGCTAAGGATCTTATTCGAAGACTCATTTGCAGCAGAGAGCACCGACTTGGTCAAAATGGAATAGAAGACTTTAAGAAACACCCTTTTTTCAATGGAATTGATTGGGATAATATTCGAAACTGTGAAGCACCTTATATTCCAGAAGTTAGTAGCCCAACAGATACATCGAATTTTGATGTGGATGATGATTGTTTAAAGAATTCTGTAAGTATGACATTGCAAGGAAGCTCTTTTTAATGTGGTTATGAAGCAATTTTATGGACCTCCTTATCAATTACTAGACAGTTATCGTGGCTTCTAGTATTTATTTTCTCATACATTGAGAAATTGAGAGAGTTCACTGAGGTGAACATGTTTGTTTATGACAAGGAGCAAAATTAAACTTCACGTATTTACCAATTAGATCAGTTATGCCATGAAGTTTCCTAGGAAGAGGAGAAATTAGATTCTTAGAAAAGTGGATTTCATGATGGCAGAGTGAGAGTTTGGCAAATCTCTCCTTAAAAAGCTCCATGATACTGGACAAATTGTCAAAAACAACCATTTTGGGGCTTGACAACTCAACCCAAGGGAAATAAATTGAGAAGCATTTATTCATGAGAAACTGAACTTTGGTCAAAAACTGTCCCACCCCATTCCTTCAGCCTGGTTGGGGCTGTCGAGCTGCTGGCAGGAGGCTGACTTGATTTGGAGAGCTCCCATGCCCAGTGGTGTTGCCACTAAAAGTAGTAAATCGGTAGGAAGGGAAGTGGGGAAAATTCTATAGCCTTGCTATCCTGAGGTTGTAGGCTCCTTGGGGCTGGTGGCAGACTAGCAGAGTCGCCAAACACTGGACCACTTTTAGCTTGTGGGCTGACATAGGTCGTCAACCTCTGCTCTACACCTTTAGGTTACATTGTTACAATTTAGGACAATAAGAACATAAAATTTTATAGATGTTGCCCTTTTAGCCTTCTTAATTTGAGCTTTATTTTTTTTCCATTATTTTATTTCTTATGGTTTTAATTCTGCACTAAAAATTTGTATATTGATTTTCTATCACTGTTCACTGTTCAGTAAGTGGCACGTGCAAGGCAGGTAAAGATTTCTTCTGCTTCTTTCTCTGGACCTCCAAAAAAAAAAAATTAAATGGACTTCCTCATCAGTTTTTTATTATAAGAATTATATTTACTGTAAACAGAAATTTGCATCTTTCCAAATTAAATACATAGTACAGTCGATTCTGATTATGGTAGTTACATGTTCTGTAAAGTTCCTGTGTGTGCTGTAGTTGTGAATATTGAACCATTATTCCTAGGGGGAAATACAGGGGTAGGTTCTTTTGAGCCTCTGGTCATTTCATTCAACCAGTCAGTACGTAACCTTGTTTTATGTATGTTTCTCTTTAAAGAAACCTTATTGAATACATATATTGTTGATTAATTCACAGCAAGTTCACAGCCAACAGCAGTGTAACTTGGGCCTGAGCAAAGCTTCTCTAACACACATACGTATTTGTCTGGCACATCGCAGCTGTCTTGCTTAGAAACCATCTAGATGGCCATTCTGCGCTATGCGTGGAGGACATTTTAAACAACACAGTCACCCATAAAAAGCAGAAAAATCTGAAAGACGTGGCACATGTAGACCTTGGAAGGAGTACTTTTTGTCATATCAGAGCTGAAACAAGAAGGCAGAGCGTCTCCTTGTTCAGTCCCAGCTGGAAACTTAGGCATCAGGCAGCTCAAAAAAATGTTTTTGTTCTGCATGTGTCTGCTAGTGATTGCAGAAGCACTGTGAATATTGATTTGGGGTTACAAATAATTTTTAGCGATGAGGCAGATCTGCACGTATGCATACATGAATAATCACTCTCAATGTCAGACTTTCCATCTGGAGTTTAATTTTATTAGAATATTACAGTGGCAGTGCTCATGTCTGGATTCTAGATCACTGCACATCTGGACCAGACTTAATCTGTGTTTCTAAATCGAACAGCCACGTATTTCTTATTGTTCCTTAATATTATAGGCCAACCTACAGATCACGGTTATTTATTTCTTACCAGATGTGTTTTCCTCCTTCAGGAAACGATGCCCCCACCCACACATACTGCATTTTCTGGCCACCACCTGCCATTTGTTGGTTTCACATATACTAGTAGCTGGTAAGTTGGAAAAGTTAACATAATTTGGACAACTTAAAGCAAATTAAGATAAATTTAAGAAATATCTAAGAAAGCCTTGTAAGTCAAAACAGTTTTTAAATAGAGGCCGAAGCTACTGCTTGACAAAGTTAGATGTTCTGTAACGAGTAGAACATAGGAGAATCTTCGGTCATTTTGGAGGAGAAATGGAGCTCACAGTGTTCTTGTTGGCACTGGGGCAGGAATCGAAGAGTCTTTTGCATTAACAAATACACTCCGGGTGCCAAGTGCCAGCACCAGCCACCTTAGCCCTGTTTTCACGGACCGCTTCCCCGTCCTCCTTCCCTGGTGTAAGCAGAGTATGATTGTCATCAATCCTTGTGTGCCCTCCCTCGGGTCCTCTACTGCCTCCTGGTCTCCTGCATGGTTCTGCTCAGTTGACATCATCATTACAGTTCAAGTTTCTGCTCAGACCCATGCAGTTCAGTGTCCAGAGAAAAGCACCTGACCATTCTCACTGGTCTCACCTTCCGTGGTCATGATTACCAACCTCTAGGACCCTTCTTGTACCTGTGCCCGCTCTTCTGCTCTCCCTTGATGAGCTCACTTAACCTTGCACAGAGAGGTCGAGGCAGGCAGCTTTCACATACTGCTCTGCATGGTCCTGCCTGCCCGCCTCTGGCCCCAAGCACTCGCCTGTGCAGATGCACAGTAGGGGCTCCCAGTCAGTCCTGGCTTGTGTGTCTCCTCTCAGGCTGGGCATCATAGCTCCTTCCTATCAGCACTGCCTTCTCTTACCTTCCAGGCCGCTTTCCGGACTTCTCACCTTTTTGGCCAGTCCTTCTCTGTCTCTACAGCTGAGGCCTTCTGATCTCATCTCTCTGGGCCCCACAGCTTCATCTTGGGACCCTTTCCACTGATACTGTGGTGCAGATATTTGCTGGTGATGCCTGAATGTGAGACCCTTCTGCTCTCTCCTACTTAAAACCCACCCAACCACCTACCTCAAATGTTCATAATCTCATCTCTTAGATTTCTCTGAACCTGTCTGACTGGTCCTGCTAGAAGATAAGTCTATAAGGGAACGTGTCATTCCCTTATATTCCTCAGCCTTGAAATTGTGACTTCCTGGCAAATTGTCTTCTGCACCATCACTCCTAGCATGATACTTGGTGATTGTAAAATGCACTCAGCAAACCTCTTACTGTTTAGGACCCATCCCCACAGTCTCCCAACTCCAGTAGCTCATATCTTAATCAAAACCAACATTCTTACAAGACCCTGCATGACTGGCTCACTTTCTCTTTCCTATGACTTTTAACCTTGCTGATTTTGCTCCAGTCACACATGGCTCTTTTCTGGCCTGGGACCATGCCAGACCTGTTCCTGCTTCAGATTCTTGCACTTGTGTTCCATCTGCTTGGAATGTCCCGTGTCCCCCGCCCCCCCGTGTCCCCCACCCCCCGTTACTCCCTCTGGACTTTATTGGGAGTTCCGCCCTGAGTAATAACCTCCTGGTCACTTTATCTAGATTTCTACTTCTTCCCCCTCAATACTCCCCCCCACCTTTTCCTTATTTTGTCCTTAGTATTCAGCACTGCTTAATGCCCTTAGTATTCTACTTATATCATATGTTTGTGTCTCCATCATGAGAACAGAAGCAAGTGGCGATTTTGCTCCCTACTAAATGTTCAACACTTCAAGTATTTTTCATTAAATTATATTGAATTAAAGGAAGCATTTCACTTTTGAATCCAAATTCTAATGAAGAGGACCATGGTGTGTGCTTTTGACTACTGTTTCACTTACGTGGTCACCTTGTGTTCAGTAAACATCGTTTTATAATGTGTGGTTATTGAAATGCAAGATAATTTGGACTATTTATTAATTTTAAAAAATACTTCTAAAAAATGGTCTGTGTTGAGATTTGTACACAATGTGTTCTCCTGTCACCCTACACAGTTAACTGTAGCTAGATACCGCAATCCGTGTTTTAACTAGACAGCTGCAGAAGGCTCTGTTTCTTGAGACGTTCTTTTCTGCGTGAACTCATGTTTTTATGTTTCTTCAGCGTTCTCTCCGATCGGAGCTGTTTACGGGTCACAGGCGGTCCCGCATCCCTGGACCTTGACGTCAGTGTCCAGAGGACTCTCGACAACAATCTGGCGACTGAGGCGTACGAGAGGAGGATCAAACGCCTTGAACAGGAAAAACTTGAGCTGAGTAGAAAACTTCAAGGTAAATATATGTTAATGATGGTACCTTTTCTTTTGGAGTTGGACTCAGTTTGAAGAACTGTTGATTATGAGGGGCCATTTTATCTTGAAAAGAAATTTCTGGAAAAAAATCCAGTTGAAGGGGCACCTGGGTGGCTCAGTGGGTTAAGCCTCTGCCTTCGGCTCAGGTCTTGATCCCAGGGTCCTGGGATCGAGCCCCACGTCGGGCTTTCTGCTCAGTAGGGAGCCTGCTTTCCCCTCTCTCTCTGCCTGCCTCTCTGCCTACTTGTGATCTCTCTCTCTCTCTCTCTGTCAAATAAATAAATAAAATCTTTGAAAAAAAATCCAGTTGAAGACTCATGCGGAAAACAGAATAATACTGTTTATGTAGACTCATGACCTTAATAGTACGACCCGGCATAGCGTTCATTTCCCCACAGGTACATATGTGAGCACATGAACTCGTCTGGGGAGAAGGAGATGGGGCTGCTCCTGGGAAAGGAGCCCTTCCCATCCCAGTGTAGCCCTGGGGATCGCTGTCCTATTTCCTCAGCCTTGAAATTGTGACTTCCTGGCAAACTATCTTCTGCTGCATCACTCCTGGCGTGATACTTGGTGACTGTAAAATGCACTGGGCAAACCTCTTACTGTTCTGACTTCTCTTGGTCTCTTGATTCTTACACGTCCAAGGATCTTGTCCTCTGCTCTACCTTACCCGCTCCTGTCTTGAGACTACAGTATCCAGAATTCTTTATTAATCTCAATTTCTTTTTTCTTAAGTCTTCTTTTCTTTTTAGGGTTTTATTTAGGTGTCAGAGAGAGAGCACGCACACAAGCAGGGGTAACAGCAGGCAGAAGGAGAAGCAGGCTCCCTGCTAAGCAGAGAGCCCAATGTGGGGTTTGATCCCAGATCCTGGGATCATGACCTGAGCCGAAGGTAGATGCTTAACCAACTGAGCCACCCAGGCGCCCCTAATCTCAACTTCAAGCAGACTCTGCATTATCTCCTGTTCGTAGTAGGCTAGTTCACTCCCTCGGGTGACTCCTGCATTCCTTCTGTCCCACTGGTACCTGGAGCTCTGTCCCCCTCACCCTGTGCCCTCCATCCTTACGTGGTCAGTTGTAATCAGACCCTTACTTGTATACTCACATTCTTGCTCTGACTTCTGTCTGTCACACTCCCTTGCCAGAACCCCAGCCCTATTGACCTGCATTCTGTCTGCGACTGTGTGAGTGAAGGTAACAGTCTTAGGACAGGCAGATGCCAACTGATCCCACTTGAGATTCAGGAGGATGGATCTTGAGTCCCATCTCAGTGAGTGCTGCCCAGCCGTCCTGCTTCCCAGGCTGTGGCTTCTCACCTGTCAGCATCTGACCCAGTTGAGGATCCCCCCCCTGCCCCCCGCAACAGCTCTTTCTTCTTTTGTCTTCTGGGACACTTGAATCTCCTGGTTTTCTTTTTCTTCATAAACCAGTTATTCTGTCTCTCTTCCTGGGTTCTCCTGAACTTTTTGGCCTGTGCATGTCGGGGTCCCCCACAGCAGTTCAGGCTCTTAGGTGTTCAGAACTACAACCTTCCAGGCATCTTTAAGCCCTCTCCGTCTGTCACACGTCCCATCTCACCTGTCAGCAAACCCGGGCAGCTCTGGTGCCAGAGAAGATCCAGAGTCCAGTCCCCACTCTGGGGCCGTCACCCGTTCACATCACCGCCACCATCACCCACCTTCTTGTAACCGCTTTCTAGCTGCTTTCCCTGCCTTACCTTGCCCCCACCTCCCCCACTGTTCCTTCTGTTTCTAGCCTCCCTGGGCTGTTCTTTCCACAAATCAGGCATGTCCCCACCTCAGGGTCTTTGCGTTAGCTGTTGCCCTGCCTTAAATTTTCTTCCTTTGGTGTTCCATGACTCCTTCCCTTACTTCCTTCAGGTCTTTATTTGAGTGTTACCTTGAAATGAGGCTTTCCTGACCGCTCTGTTTAAAACGTAGTCTTGCTTTACCTCCAGCACTTACTCTCCCTCTTTCCTCCTTTATTTTCTCCAGAGCAAAGGACAAAACGTATGATTTATTTTACTTACTCCTTTTGTGAATGAAGGAATGTATGAATAAATAATCAAAAAACTTGTAACTCTTAAGAGTGAAAGAAGTAAGTTTTACAACAACAAAGTTTTGCTGTTAACGCTTTTATAGGCCCTGTGGAGAAAAAAACTGCAGACACCAATAAAACAGACTGATTGTATTTTTCAATAAGTTGCTAAGATCTCTGCATGTGGATTACTACTTCTTTGTGTTGAAAGTTGTTAGTTTTGACTTTTTAATGCAATATATTTACCATATATCATTGTATAAATTACTATGTACACCTTGTTAATTCAGTACATTTATATACTGTAGTAAGATTGTTGTAGTGACGTTTGGTACTTCTGGCGTGTACATAATTACAGTACAGCATTGTAATCTGTGTTTATGACACTGTGCATTAGGTCTCTGTGACTTATTTACTACTTGTTGCGAGTTGGTACCCTTAAACCACATCAGTCTCATGTGCCCCCTCCTGCCCCATCCCCTGGTAACCACAGTGTTACTCTCTGTTTTTCACAAGTTTGACTTTTCTATTTTTTTAAATTTAATTTTATTTTTTCTGTATTCCAGGATTCGTTGTTTATGCACCATACCCAGTGCTCCATGCAGTACATGCCCTCCTTTGTACCCACCACCAGGCTCAGCCATCCACCCACTACCCTCCCCTCCAAAACCCTTAGTTTGTTTCTCAAGAGTCCACAGTCTCTCATGGTTTGTCTCCCCCTCTAACTTCCCCCAATTCACTTTTCCTTTCCTTCTCCTAATGTCCTCCATGTTACTCCTTATGCTCCACAAGTAAGTGAAACCACATGATAATTGACTTTCTCTGCTTGACTTCTTTCACTCAGCATAGTCTCTTGGAGAGGATGTGAGGAAAGGGGAACATTCCTCTTACGCTGTTGGTGGGAATGCAAGTTGGTGCAGCCACCTTGGAAAACAGTGTGGAGATTCCTTAAGAAATTAAAAATAGAGCTACCCTATGACCCTGCAATTGCACTACTGGGTATTTACCCCAAAGATACAGATGTAATAGGTTTGACTTTTTTAGATCTCACATGTAAGTGATGTCCTGCAGTTCTTGTCTTTCTCTGACTGACTGAGCATCCACCATCCTTATTGTCACAAATGGCAGGAGACTCTCCTTGCTCGGGGCTGAATAACATTCCATTGTGTACTTATACCCCATCTTTTTTAACCATTCATCCATTGATGAGACTTTAGGTTGTTACCATATCTTGGTTATTGTGAATAATGCTTCAGTTAACATGAGAGTGCACGTATCTCTTCGAAATCCCACTTTCATTTCCTTTGAGTCTATAACCAGGCGTGGAATTGCTGGATGGTCTGCCAGGTGGATTTTTAATTTTTTTTGAGGAAAAAATTAAAATAAAAATTAAAGTAATGTTTTTACTTGTGCTTGGACCAGTTTACATTTCCCCCAACTGTATTCCCTTTTCAGTCCATCTCCGTCAGCACCTACTGTCTCTTGTTGTCTTCTTGATAGCCATTCTGACAGTGTGAGCATCATGACATTGTGGTTTTGATTTGCATTTCCCTGATGATGGGTGATGGTAAGCATATTTTCATGTGCCTGTTGGCCATTTTGAAGTACTCTTCGGAAAAGCATCAATTTAGTTCTTCTGCCCATTTTTAAATTGGATTGTTTTTTGTCATTAAGTTGTACAAGTTCCTCGTATATTTTGAATATTATTAGCTCCTTATCCGATATATCGCTTACAAAAGTTTTCTCCCATTCTGTAGGTTGCCTTTTCATTTTGCTAGTTGTTTCTTTTGCCTTACAGAAGGGAGCTTTGAGTTTCATGTAGTCCCATTTGTTGATTTTAGCTTTTGGTGTTTGTGCTTTTGGCATCATATCCAAAATGTCATTGCCAAGACCAATGTCTGGGAGCTTCTAACATGTGTTCTCGAAGTCTTGCTATCAGGTCTTATGTTTAAGTCTTTGATCTCTTTTGAGTTGATTTTTGTAAGTGGCCTGAGAAGAGCCCATTTTCATTGTTCTGCATGTGTTTCTCCAGTTTTCCCAGCACCATTTGTTGGAGAGACTATCTTTTCTCCATTGGGTGTTTTTGGCTCCCTTGTTGAGTATTAGTTGACCATCTATGCCAGCATTTCATTCTGGGCTGTTGTGTTCTGCTGCTCTGTGTGTCTGTTTTTGTACCAGTAAGATGTTGTTTTTATTACTGTAGCTTTGTAGTATAGTTATTAGGAAGTGTGATGCCGCTAGCTTTGTTCTTCTTGTCGGGACTGCTCTGTCTCTCAGGGTCTTTTGTGATCCCACAACAAATTTTAAGATTGTTTCTTCTATTTCTGTGAAGAATCCCTTGGGTGTTTTGATGAATATTATGTTAAATCTGTAACATGGCTTTGGGTATTATAAATGTTTTAATGATATTAATTCTTCTGATCTGTCAACGTGCAATAGTTTTCCGTTTGTTTCATCTTAAATTTCTTTCAGCAAAATCCTACAGTTTGTATTGTACAGATCTTTCCCTTACTGGGCTAAATTTTTCCTGAGTATTTTGTTGTTTTTGATGCTACTGTGAACAGGATAGTTTTCTTTCTTTTTCAGATGTTTCATCATGACTGTAAAGGAAAACAATAGAGTGATATGTGTTGATTTTGAATCCTGCAACTTTGCTGAATTTGTGGATCAGTTCCAACACTTATCTTGGTTTGCTCTTTGGGATTTCCTGTATATAAAATCATATCAACAAATAGGACTAATATTATTTACTTCTTTCTCATTTGACAGTCTTTTATTTCTTTGTCTTGCCTGACTTCTTTAGCTAGGACTTCCAGTACTATATTGATAGGAGTGGAGAGAGTGGGCATCCTTCTCCTGTTCCTGATTTTAGAGGAAAAGCTTTCAGTTTTTCTCCATTAAATGTGAGGTTAGCTTTCAGTTTGTTGCAAGTGGCATTTA